TCCCTGTTCTGGCTTACCTGTTACACTTGTAGCTAGGAGAGATAGCACACCCCCACACACCTGAGCTTCTGTGCGTGCAACTGTCAAGCCTAAGATGGGAAGGTGTTGAGAGAGTGGGAGGAAACTGTTAATCCCAAAGCTTTCATGTGGCTGCCAGTGCAAAGGAACAACCACTTCCTCTGCAGCTATGGTTGCTCGCTCTCTGGAGCCTATGCTGTAAGATGCAACACACAGAAATTCAAGCAAAAGAGAGAAACGATGCAATGTCACAGAGGCTTAAAATACCTCCAAAAGTAGCAAAGATTCACACATGCCCACAAGTTACTGTTCAAATGTGAAACTTCCACATCAAATTTTTCTTCTGTTCCTGAAGTAACCTGCTCTGCTGTGAGGGGTTTTTTTATCTTGAACTGATGGATAAGGGAAGAATCACCAGGAAAAAGAATCTGTCTTCCTCTTCTCCTTCATCTCTCCCCATCAGGCCTCAGTTGCTTCAGATCCAGGTAGTTGCTTTCATTCTCCTTCTGTGTGGGTCAAGGTGAACATACCCAACAGCATCACAAAAATGGCCACATGCTGCTGTGCAGGCTCCATTCTGGGATCATCACTGGCTTAGAAGCCAACAGCGGGAAGGAGTTGGAGCCAGCCTTTAGGCTGACAGTGGTTGTAACCCATGATCTTTTTGGTCCTACATCAGCTCCAAGTGCTTGTAGCCGGACAACAGGACCTGCAACTTATAGAGAGTTCAGAAAGTGTAAAATAGGAGAGCCTCTGCAGTCCAGACTTTGAGCTAGTGCTCCGTGAAACCAAGCTGCACCATGGCTGAGCATAGTGCTTTAAATAGCTGCTGAGACAATTTGGTGCAGGATAGCATGGGGTAACAGACACTACTGTTCCACAAGAACTTAAAGTTGATGTAAGCGAGTCCTGGAAAAGTGGTCCTGTGCGCAGCTGTTTGTTCCTGTATTGCACTGCACTTATGAACTAGATTTGGGAACTGGCTGATTGTCTAATCCAGCCTTTTTGGAAGTGAGGAAGAAAGGTTTTACTCAGGTCAGTTCCCTGATGTGGATTACTGTGCACTGGCGTGGATGCTCGTGGCATGGGTGTGGGGAAAAGACTGTGTCAGCTGCAGTATTGGGTTATGCTGATATAAACTGCTCTGATCAAAATTAGGTCAAATTTAAACAGTATTAAATTTAAACAGAAATGAGGCATGCTTTTGATGAGACTTCTCCAAAACTCACATGTGTCTGACTGTGTTGGCTGGCGGGAATTCAAAGGACACCACAAGAAACCTGAGGGGAGATCAGGACTGTTTGAGTAGAGTGCCAACCTCAAATGCAGACTAAGGGCATTTTTTAACTTTGGATTCCTGTGAGCTGTATCACAGGAAGTAATAAAGTAAATCTGCACAGATGGCAAACTGGTTAACCAGTGCATTATACAATTGTGAACAGCAGACTGCATTAGATGAGACTAATGTCCTAGTGGACTAGAACAGGGATTAGATTAGAACAAGACTAGACTAGTTTTGTTGTTCTAGAACCCCAAATGCTGGGATTTGTGGACTATAAGACCTGGTCTCCAGGAATAAAATAAGCACTAAGGCTGCCTCATGGTACTTGCTAGCCAGTAGTTATTCAGCCCAAAACCTATTGTTTGATTTTTAAGATGGTGAATATTTTCCTTAGACTGTAGACATTTGTATACTTTAGGATTAAAGCCTGAAAATATATTAGTAGAAACAGTCTGTGTCCAACAGTCTGTTGTTCTCTAGGATCCCGAATGCTAGGTTTGGAAAGGGAAAAACTGCTCCTTGCAGTCTTGACTTAAATGAAGCAAGATATGAAGATTTGGGGCTTCTCAGATTTCCAGCATTGCAGTGATCCTTAGAAGCCACCTTCTCTCTTGAATTAGATGGACAAATAGTAGAATTTGCTCTACCAGATCATCTGTTTTTAATAGAAGTCAATGCTCAAACCATAAATAATAGTGGAGTAGGGGGCAGAATTTAAACAAGCCTTGCAAGCTCTAGTTACAATGACAAACAGTTCCACCCTTGCATGTCATTTTTACAAATGTTTTCTTTCCCCAGTGTCTTTTCATCTAACTATAGTTTGCCTTGCAACAAGTTACAGCTGTATAAATATCCTTGTTTTGTTTTCTGTGATGTGAAGTGGATGAACTGGATTGGTCTGGAACACAGACATGCCAGGATGGAAAGCACTTGCAGACCTTTTCAAATTATTTACATTTGGCAACTAAGCAACCAGACAAATAGACAATATGTATGACACCTGCCAAACTTACTATATGACACTCTACCCTACGTGAGGGCGCACATTTCCTCATGCGGTAGCATGTATCAAGTGTTTTCTTGAGTAGCATCTTAACGCATGAGAGAACATTAGCACTTGGTACAAGCCGTCCACAGTGCATGTGATATGCACATCTGTGTGGCAGGAGATGTGCTGTTCTCTGGTTTTGCTGTGTACTAGAAGTACCCCAAGGACACCCTCCTGAAGCTTTGATATTTGTCTAAAAGCATGAAAACTTCGATTGTGTGTGGCCAGGATTAACTAGGGACAGGATATAGTCTGTAATCTGGACGAGTTGAGTGTGGAACACTCCATGGAAACAATCCTAACTGGCAACTGGCCCTGCTGAAATAAAAACAGATGCCTAGGGAAGGGTATTGAACGAGTACAAGCATCTGGAGGTACCTGGCATTCAGAATAACCTCCCAGGCTGCCAGGGCACCTTGAACCAGTGGGTGGAGTCTTTTATTTAATCACCTTGATTAATTTGTCAAGGTTTTTGTTAGTTGTACTTTTTTTTAAACATCTCCATAAGTCTTTTACCATCTGCAGCATGCTGCGATGAGGTGCTTCATCACTTAATTATGCATCATGCGAATAGCCACATCTGTTTGTTTGAAACCTGACAGTACCTGCAGTACACTGCTGCCTGTGGAGCACAAAAGAAGTATCAGTCCTGATCAGAGGTGCTGTGGGCTTCTGCACCTCTTCCAGCATGTGACCCACTGTGCTTGTGGAGTATGTGATGTCTCCTCCAAGCCCTACTGCAGGGCTGCACAGCTGTGCAACTTCAGTGTCCTGTAACTGGTCTGGCCTTTCCCCACCTCTACTGAAACCCCTGGTTGAAAGGCTAGTAACACAACAGTACTCACTATTTGAGATTACTGCATATTTAGATGTGGGTGGGGAGGAGTTAGACAAGGTTGGTAGTTAAAAGTGAGGATATGGCTCGCAGTCGAGAGACCCAAAAAATGCTGGGATGGTACTAGTCTCTAAGATCTGCAAAAGGTGATTCTGATTTTAAAAGTATGGCTTCAGTGCAGTAGTTGTTCTGAAGTCACCCCGCTAATAGGGCTTATCTTTGAGGCTGTTCATATAGTGTGCGTATGTGGAAAGAGATGGAGGCAGAGATTGCTGGGTTCTTCCAGCTGGGGACAGATAGCTGTGGGTGAAGCTGCACAATACAGCAAAGTCGACTTAATAGTTTATATGCCCTCATTCTCCCTCCCTTGCACTGACTCTGTTGCTAGTCAGATCCCTTGCTGAGCTGAGTGGGGTCGTTAGCCCAGCAAAACCCATCTCAGGCTGTTCTCGTGGTGCTACTGAGCTAAATCAGTGCATGGAGAAGGTCAGTAAGTCCCAGAGCTGGAGTGAGGTGAGCTCTGCTGAGACCCCCCTGCAGTACTGCGTTCAGCTCTGGGGCCCCCAGCACAAGAAGGACATGGACCTGTTGGAGTGGGTCCAGAGGAGGCAACAAAGATGATCCGAGGGCTGGAGCACCTCTCCTGTGAAGACAGGCTGATGAGAGAGTCGGGGTTGTTCAGCCTGGAGAAGAGAAGGCTTCGGGCAGACCTTAGAGCAGCCTTCCAGTGCCTAAAGGGGCCGACAAGAAAGTTTGCAGGGACTTTTTACAGGGGCATGGAGTGATAGGACAAGGGGTAATGGCTTTAAACTGGAAGAGGGAAGATTTAGATTAGATATAAGGAAGAAATTCTTCATGGTGAGGGTGTTGATGCACTGGCAGAGGTTGCCCAGAGAAGCTGTGGATGCCCCATCCCTGGAAGTGTTCAAGGCCAGATTGGATGGGGCTTGGAGCAACCTGGTCTGGTGGAAGGTGTCCCTGCCCATGGCAGGGGGGTTGGAACTCAATGATCTGTAAGGTCCCTTCCACCCTAAACCATTCGTGATTCTATGTAACTTCACCTTCTGTTTTCTGTGGCTCAGGACTATGTCCACATCCTGTCTTTCAGCCTGCTTATTGCCTGACTGCTGTATCACAGAATGAGATGTAAACTCACCTGATTTGACAGTGCCCTGCAAATGTGTCTCCGGGCCACTTACCATGAGTCCGGTCTCTGGAACAGTGATAATAAAGGTGCTGCTCTCCGTTTCTTTTCCATTTGTGTCTGACAGATTGACCAAAACCAGTTTGATAAAATCCTGGAGCTGATAGAAAGTGGGAAGAAAGAAGGGGCTAAGCTGGAGTGTGGGGGTCTTGCCATTGAAGACAGAGGCCTGTTTATAAAACCCACTGTGTTTTCAGAGGTCACTGACAACATGCGTATCGCCAAAGAAGAGGTACAGTACAAATCACCTGAACCTTATATGCATTTAGTACTGTAAATGGGAAATAAAAGAGGTATGGTTGTGGTTTGAAGTGAAAACCTGAGAGGAGAGTAGAAGTTTCACTTAGTTCACTTATTTCAGTGTCCTAACAACTGCCTAATGCTGAAATCCATTCTACTAATGAAGTATCTGCAAGATGAGCTTCATTTTGGAGCATGTGTGTGTGTGGAATTGTGAGAGGAGAAGGAGGAGAGCAGAACAGGCAAAAAACCTGTCAAAATGTTTTAGCAGCAATTTTTGTGCAATTAATAGGTGTCTGTTTGCTAGCCCTTTCTAACGCCTTGCTAACTTTCCCTCATTTTGTTTGTTTTCCAAAAGGGAAGTAGCCCTGTGAGTGTACTCATGGGACAATAACAAACCCAGATAAAAACATAGTGGATATGTTTTTGGGTCTCATTTCAGGAGAACTTGATATAATGCAAATACAAACACATGCCTTACCTAGATAAATGCTGCTTCTGAATAAGAAATAATGGTGATGGAGGAGTTTCTGTCTGAATCCTTGATTTTAAATATAAATAACTGAATAAAAATAACTGAAACTGTGGCAAGTTGGAGCGATTCTATGTATTCTTTGCTCTGAAGTTTGAAGATTTTCTGAAGACAGAGTTAAGCTCTCCCACTCTACACAGACAGATGGCTGTGTGCGCTGTGTGCTCTTACGCACCTCCTACTGAGAGGACTTGAAATTGCTCAGCTGTGGTACATGCTGATTCAAAGTGACAGAGGACAGTATAATGTGTGTTCTTGCTCCACTACTTTGTAAAAAAGGAGTTGCTTTATTGCAGAAAGGTGGGACAAGAACTCTGGGACCTGAAGCTGGTGAGGAGTGAAGGAATGGCCCTGCCATACTGCCACTGAAGAACTTTTCTCAAGTAGCCTCAGCGTCTGAAGTAATCCCAGATTCCGTTCTCATGGTGAAATCCCCTGAGGCTGACCATTTTTTTCCTATATGAAAACATGGTCAAAGCCAGCAAAGTGCAGATCTAATACTCTGGCTTTCATTACTCATATGCAGAAAAATTGAACAAGCTGCATGTGATTAGATCCTGTGATATTCCTTTGAAATAGAAGTTAATCTACTTTTCATCATGTTCCCCAATGGAAAATAAGTAGTTGCCAAAGTCTAACTGGCACTTGTATTTTATAGTTTAGCCTAGTGCTTTTTATGGGGCTGCTTACTGTTCACTCATGGCAAAATGTTTAGATGGCTCAGATCTGCCACAGAATCTCTAAGGAACCTGGGAAAGATATCAGTCAGTCTGGGCATGAGTTACATTCTAAAAATAGAGGGAGTAGGAGCTGAAAATCCCATGACAGGCCTTTTTTAATGAACTGACTCCAAATCCCAAGTCATGATTCATGAAGCTTATCCAGTTTCATTCATTTGCAGTTTTCTTGCAAATGCACGTTCATCCTTTGCCTAGGATCAAGGCTCCAGTTAAGTACCTGGATCTCCCAAAACGAAGAAATTTAGAAACACTTGTATGAGCCTAAAGGCCAGGCAAACTGCTTAGCCTGGCCCTTGAGGTGGCACAAGTGAGACTGTATCTCACCTTCGGTGTGGGTTTATTGTACTGCAAGACCATGCAGGCCAGCAAAGGGCCCCACCTTTGATGCTGTACTTGATGAGAGACTCCATCCCAGAAGATAGGAAATACTGTGTATGCCTGCTGCCTTTATACTGGCAACCTGGGAAGCCAAGTTTGTGGTCAAACGCGTACGTGGTAAATGCACTGCACGCAAATCAACTGCATACAATGACAAAATCAGAGTTAAAAACAAAGAAGAAAACTTGCAATCCTTGAAATATATTAATTACTTCTTGAGTATACTCAACTTCTGAGTTCAAAAGGAGAGTCGTAAATGAAGTAAGGATGAATCATTTGGAACTTGTCCAGATCTAACTCTGCTTATTTTGATTGTTATAGATGATCCATTAGTTGTTGGATCTTAGCGTACATTACCTACTAGAGCACATCGCTGTACTTCCTTTGAAGTTAGTTTAATTAGTAGTTTTTAAGAGACTCTACCAGTGACTTCTAAAAGGCTAGGATATAACATTTTAAATACAGTATCCAAACAAAACATCTGATTCTGATTACTTCAAAATTACCACGATTAGCAAAGTCTTTCCTGTACTAATGTTTAATTTATATGTGCAGATTTTTGGGCCAGTTCAGCCAATTATGAAGTTTAAGAGTATAGAAGAGGTCATAAGAAGAGCCAACAGTACCGAGTACGGACTTACGGCTGCAGTGTTCACAAAGAATCTGGACAGAGCATTAACGCTAGCTTCTGCATTGCAATCAGGAACTGTCTGGTAAGCAGTGTGGGGCCAGCCTATGGTCTGGGATTTTGTTTCCTGGAAGGGGAGAGGGGTCTATGATTTGGAGGCATGTGTAAGTGCTGGAGGTAAAATGTATTAGTAGTCTGCTTAAAAATTCTTGATACTCTGCTTAGAAGCAACGTCCGTTCATCAAAATAAGATGGTGAGGACCAGACAGTCTGGCAAGAAATGGACTGTTTGTTTGTTCAATCGATGTAGTTCTTCATCTGGAAAACTCTGAAAATGTAAGGGTTGTAGTAAGTTCCACCAGACATGATGCCTTTCAAAATCTGGTATGTAGAAAAAAGCAATTCTTATGATCTTGAGGTAGCATCAGATGTGGTCTTAGATGCACAAATCAGTATGGACAGTAGATGGCATCACACTACTGTCAGAAAAATAAATAGCGTTTTGTTTGGTTTTTTTTTTTGCTTTCAAAATTTCGTATTTTATTTTAGAATCGTTTTAAAGATGGAATCCTGATTTTTTTTTTCCACTAAAGATAGGAATTTGATCTGATGTCTGATTTTGACGCACACAGAGGATTGATTTCAAGAGTTGCCGCCAGAAGAATCTGCCTCTAATATTTACATAAAAATGGGAATGTTGGCCTTTGCAGGATACATGTGGTGTCCATACATGAAGGTGCAGTCCTACAGCACCAAGCCATACCTGTCTCTCTTCAGTCAGTTCATCTTACTGAGATGCTGAGGAAGTATTGGCATTAGCTTTTTCTTCCTAGTGTGTATATAAATGGGACTAGCGCTTTCATTTTACTGCGACACAATTGTCTAATGCAGTCCAACTTTTGTCTACACCTGGAAGTGGATAGTGGGGCATGCTTGTGAGTGTTTAGACAGCTTTCTCAGTAAACATGTTCATTTCAGAATGTGCTTCATTAAACTAGGGAATACGTTGGACTATTTATTTTAAGTGTGGCTCTGAACACAGCATAAATTCCAGCTCAAGCATGAATGTCTTAGCTATTAGAGACTATGAAGTGAGATCTAGGTTAGACTGATTACCACTCAAATGTTTTCTGTTTCTGTAGCAAAATAAGATTTTATTGCTGAAATCTGATTTCTCAAGTGAATGAACTGTATAAAGAGAAAACTGACAGTTTTCAGCCTTTTTTGTATTGTTGCTGTTGTCATCATCTTGCTTCTCCTTCGTATTGAATTGTCTTTTTACAATTTATGTTTTTATTGTAGGATCAACTGTTACAATGCGCTCTACGCACAGGCTCCTTTTGGTGGCTTTAAAATGTCAGGCAATGGCAGAGAACTGTAAGTTTTGCTCAATATTTTGTTTATATGTGGATGGTGAATGCAATAACAATGGTGACTCAGTGAAAATATTGTTGAAATTGCTTTTAAACTCTATCAAGCTTGCAGTATGCTGCACAGGGAGGTGCTAAGCCAGTACAGTGTGGATGTAAAGCACAGATGTGAGAATGTGAGTGGTACCTTTAGGAGTACCTTCATCTGCTTTATAAGCTCTTAATAACTCCAGTTCAATCAATTCCACTTGCAAGCATTTTTCCTTATTAGTTAGATTTTTGGATCGAGGGAGAAGTATGGCACCTTGGCTGGGGACACTGGTATCAACCCCAAAACTCCTCAGTCTTTATATGGTGGTATCTGGGCCTCCTTTGACTGCTGTATCATTGCTCCTAGTTGGACCTCTTCCCACCTTTGACTTTCTAATGTTGGAGCTAGAACAAGAAGGAATGATCTCTAAAATCATTCTACCTCCCACCTTCCAAGCTTGCTACTAAATTACAGAAGGACCCTGTGTCGCTCTTCCCCAGCCTGACCCGTTGCAGCATGGCTGCTGGACATTCCAGCTCTAATTAGTTACTAACACAGACATTTCTATACCAAGGTAACCCTGTAAGTTAGAGGTAGAACTGAGAAATTGACTTAAATCTTAATTTTCTTCTTGTATAGGAGAGAGGCAGGTTTTATTACACGATTCAGAAGACTCTTCAGAGGAATCTAATGTACCTTTTCATAAGCCAGATTTATTTCCAGGAACCATTTCCAGTAGCTGTTCTGGTGCATCTGCTGCTCTGAGACATTCACATGCCTCACTTGCTAAGCACAGCAAATGAATGAATCCTCAAATGGGACATATATATTGAGACCTTATGGTTTACTTTGCCGGACCGCCTGGCTAATTACAGGATGTCAGGGGTTTATCCCTTGGGCAAGGCATGGGAATAGAGCCAGTTCCCACCAACCAAGACATAATGCAGAGGTGGGGTCTGTCATCAGTATGCATTTCTGGAGCAACTGTACCCTCTTGATTATATGGTATCTTGTAGACAGAAGCTTACTTTCAGTGAAAAAGCAACTTAATTACTGTCTAAACACTGATAACTATGTTTACGTGGATGTTTCATCTACGGGTTCTCAAAATAGTACTCAGTTTTCACTAGGCAGGGAGTCACAAGGTGTCATCTTGCAGGTTACTGTGAGCAGAAGCATTCCATGTTTCTTTTACAACAGATTGTAGGTATGTGTATGTACTTATGTACATGTACTTAGTGATTATTAGAAGTGGTGGCAAAAATTGATAGCTGGTGTGGGTTAGTTCAGATCTGGTTTTAATGGCCTGATGGCATCTACAGCAGCTGTCAATCAGAGGCTAAAATGCCCTTGTGTAGAAATCTCTTATCTTAGAGAAGTACACATTAACATGCTATAATTGTTTGTCCCTTTCCCTCCTCTCTCTTCTTTTCCAGTGGTGAATATGCTTTGGCAGAATACACAGAAGTGAAAACAGTCACCATTAAACTCTCCCAGAAGAGTCCATGAAAACAGAAGGCCTAAAATGCTGACACTCTGAATGTGACACATGGGGGACGTGTTCAGAGCAAGGGGGAGGGGAGGGGTAGGAAGGAAAATGGAAACACCTAACTTTATTCCTCTAGAAACACTGAATCTACTGGACTCCATTTTGTCAACTGGCTCTTCGAAAACTGATTTAATGGACCCTACCGGCAGCATAGCACACACTTGTACTGTACAAGCCCCTGGCTGTACACCCATCTGCTACCTGTAACTAAAATGCTGGTCAGTGATAGTGTTTGCAGGACATCTGCTTTCAAACTGTACCCCTGAAGGACGCGGACATCAATGGCATGTTAGAGAGACTTCTGGTACCGTTAGCATGGAGTGTTAAACACCTTCGGAGGCATATGGGTTTCACTTGGCATAAAGGGACTTGAGCGGTAGGGTTGATACAGCTTGACTGAAGTTGGCGGAGTCTGTGTGGAGATTGCAGGTGGAGTTTGGAATGGGAGTGCAAGCTTTCATGGAAGGATCTGTAAAGAAATTCTCTTTGAAAGAGCTATCTTGGTCTCTCTAAAGATACATGCATTCTCCATGTTGGTGATATTCTAGCCCTGAATGAGATTTGTGGAAGTTTCCTAGAGGACTCCTTTGGGGCCAGCATTTCACCCAGCAGAGCTAGACTTTAAAGTGTCCTTGGAACCTGATGTTTTGGTGTGCACACATTACACATGCTGCAAATGCAAGTTACTGACTTGCTAACCCTTCTGGCTCCGAATGAGCCACAAATCTATCTCAAACCTTCACTATAGCACTTTTCGCAAGAGGATTTTGCACTGTACTTAACGTGATGACATCGAGTTGAATGCTAAGCATGTAGCATGGTAGATATGCCACAGAAAACATCCCACGCCAGTCCTTCTGATCTGGGGGAGGGAGCAGCAGAGCTTCAGGAAGCTGTCCTGCTCTCTCTTTCTCTGTAACTTTCAGGCTTGTGAACATCTCCTCATTTTTTGAGCCACAGCTATTATTATAAGAGTAAAACTTATAAGCTCTTCTCACTGCTTCTTTATCCCGTATGAATGTAGCTTAAAATAAATTTCTGGAAGTACAGTATGAAAAGGCAGGTGCTCCCAAGCACTCGCTGAGTGCTAAAGATGTGGGTATACAAACCAGTTACCATGGAATAAGCTATGGCTGGACTTAAATGTGTCAGCAGCTTTGCAGTAATTGCCCTCGTGAGTGCTCTCATCTTGTGGCAAGCAGAGTAGCTGATCCTTCACTGAGAAATAAACTGCCTTGAATCGACTCTTGCTTACAGCTGTATAAGCATGCACATACATGAATAGCATCCACGGAGTGGCTGTCACACCAAGTTCATGCCTTAGTATCTCCTGCAGTAACTCCTTTGCATGCCCAGACGTCACGATGAGATTAATGACAAGCCACATGCTGTCTTCAGTTCCCAGGTTCACTACTTTTCCTCCTCCTCCTGATTCTGTACTGGAGAACCACTGGCAAACGTATGGGAAGTTCCATATCTGCAGGTGCTGTAAGTATGCAGGTATTAGCAGTGTCAGCTTGTTAGGAAGTTTAGCTGATCTCACTGGGATTGTCCTCTGAGAGCAAACTGGTAGAGGTTCCTTATGGCATATCAACAGATCTCCAGGGAGAACTGGTAAAGATTGCTGTCTGGAGTTTTCCAGATGTCAGGGCTTGAAGCAGAAATGCACGTCTAACTTCTATTCTCTGATGCAAGCAAGGATTTAACCAGTATCTTCCTTGGCTTAGAGATATACCCAGTCAGTAACAAGTTCTGTTGCATGAGCAGACCTTTTTTTGGAGGAGGAAGGAAGGTGGGTGGCGATAAGGAAAAAGTTTGCATGAGCCTAAACTTCCTTATTAGTTAGTGAACGTTGAAATTGCACTTCAACACTGCTTAACTTCTTAAATGACATACCTCCAACAGTTGTATATAACTAGGTGCCTGTCCTCCCATGGGTATGTGAGACAAGTAAATCTCCCCATCCAGTGAAGAAAATGTCCTCCCTTCCCCATGAAAGGCCAAATGGGAACATTGTAAATACGTTTCTATTTTTGTAAAACACTTAGAGTGCAAACATCTTCTCAGACAAACGTTTTACTTTTGCCTACCTGATGGTTTCCTAGGGCTGCAGTCAGACAGTAAGGAGGTAAGGCAAACAGTAAAAGGCTGGTTATCTTGATCTATCTCTGTATTTTTGATAAACAGTCGTTGAAACTGAAATAATCTGAAATTCTTAAAATCCTAGTATTCTGGCTTTATATGTATGATATATATTTCACCTCTTTTTTTTCCCTTATCAAGTTTTTAAAAAGTCAATGTATCTCTTATTGTATAAATCAGGGTTTGACTCTACACACTGAATTTTCTAAGTTATATAACACTAGACACTAACTTTAAAATAACCCCTTAGAGGGTATATATTCTTTCATTGCACAGTAAGGCTTTCATATGAAATACTACTTTTTTTTTTTTTTAAAAAAAGAACTATATTTATAAATTAGGATACATTTAATCTAATGTATTTTTATAGCTAAAGGTACATGAAAATGCTATGTTTAAACCTCATGTATATATTTAGACTATGGGTATCTTTTTGTAATAGTTGTGGTTCCTAATAAATGTTTAACTTTGTGAAATGGTTTCTAAATGCTACATATTGATATCGCTCAGAAAGGAAGGTGGGGGAGCAGGAAACTTCTATTGACTTTACTCATTTTAACAGAGGAGTAACTTGAATGCTTTTTTATTTACAGTGATTGGTGCTTTAAGATAATTCCAGCCCCTCTAATGCAGGTGTTAAAACCCCTTCCATCAGCCAGCAACTTCCACTCAACTCAATCCTCCTGTCACTGTTTTTTATTTCACTCTGAATTTGGCCCATTGTGTCAATAAAAGTAAACACTGTAAAGGGTTATGGTTTCGTGCTTCTAAAACAAAATGGCCCTGTATTGCCGTAGTTACAGGGGGCTCTTCCTCGAACAGCGTCCTGTCTGTTCCCCTTGATTCAGTGACCCAGCAGTAGTCCCCAGGCAGAAACGTGCACTGGGCTCACAAGAGGCAACGTAATTTCAAGTTACCTTTTCCACGTGGCAGTGTCTGCATGTGTGTATCTGGGGATTCAGTATCTTACTGGGGGACTGTGAAGGAATCTGAATTTGGATTAATTTCTGCAATTTGTGAAGAATTAGCCTGTTTTTAAAAAGTGCTGAAGTGTGGTCAGTGCTCTGCACGTAAAAGCTGGAGAGTGTGATAGCTTACACTTTTGTAAGTTGTGCCATTTGCAGTAAGCAGAGGGAGGAAGAGAGCAGAGCTGCAGCTGGCAGGGGCAAGGACAGCACTTTCCAGTTCAAAGTAGGATGGATCCTTTTTGCCTTCTGAGGTGAGCCTCAAAATGGAGAATTTGAAGGGACCATAGAGCACACTGCCAGATGGGGCTTCCTGCCTTGGTCTGGCTGCTTCCTAAACCCCTTTGAGACACACCCATCACTAGTATGACTCTGCTAAATACATTCCCGTTCCTGTCTTAATTCCCTCATTTGCAACGTAGATGGAGAGCAACAACATATGGATACCATTGTCTTTTAACTCTTCCCATCTAATACATGTGTGAGAAACACCCGTCATCTCCTTATACAGGCCAAGCCAAACTCCTTGAATTTTCTGCTTGCTAACAGCATCACTGAGAAGCTTTTAGACTTTAGAAGGGGGAAGGCTGGAGATACAAAGGAATTACTGTGAGTGACATAATCACTGGAGACATAAGCTGGGAAGAGTGGGATGAGATTTGGAAGAAAAAAAGAAAAAACAAACTGGCTTGAATGTGTGGAGAAATTCTTGCTAGGGGAAGTTAGAGTCTCTATCAAAATAAAGGGGGAAAAAAGTTCTTTCAGTGGATTTTCAAACAATTGTGCTAAAAAAGCTGTAAGAAAGGTCTGGGTAAGAGCCAGGCTGTGAGGCATAAAAGACAGCAGGCTGGGTAAGAGGTGGAAAGGGTGCTAAAACCGGGTAACACTACTATGGCTGCAGCTAAAAGCAGATTAATGGGGACCTGAACACAGGTAAAAGCACCAGTAAAGACTCATCTTCTCTATGTCTCCATAATCACATCAAAGAAACACCCTAGGCAAATCTCAGACTGCAGCAGCCACTCAGTGAACGGATACAGTTTTTTTCCATCCTGAAGCAATCATCAGGGACCCATTTCATGGAACTGACCAGGGAAGGAAAAAAACCTCTGTATGTAATTTACAGAACCATTACGAATAACAAAGCAAAAGGCATGCAGAAGTGGTCTTTCTGAGTAGGTCCAATGGGTGGGGAAAATAAAGCAGGACCAGGTCTGTTAGAGGTTCCTGGTACCTGGAGACGAACGGGTTTGTGATGGAGAAAAGACGTGCGCAATGCCAACGTGCCAGCTGGAGCGCAGCATGTCTAACCCCTTCGGAAGAAAGAGGGCAATCTCGCTTTGCTTTGCCAAAGAGGAGCAAACTCAAGCCGCAACCTGGGGAAGGAGCAACTTTCGAAGACAGAAATGTCGGATCAACTCTGTTACCGGTAAGGCCAGACGCCTGTTGAGAAGCAATGCTGAGAGGAGATGGGTAGCAGTGCTACATGCGGCAGTGCCCGCCTGGTGCCTATGCCTGGGGGGCTACACGGCAGCTGGCTGTGAGGGCGAAGCCATCCAGACGACTCGCTGTAGCTGAGAGGGTCCTGCTCCGGACCCCGCAACTCCCAGTCTGTTTTTTCCTTAAAAAAAAACAAAACAAAACAAAACAAAAAAAATAAAACAAAAAACAAAAACAAAAACAAAAACAAAAACAAAAAAAAACAGTAAAAGTTTCTATTTTGAAATCTTACAATATGTAGGGACTGTCGGGGGAGCAGGCAGACACCGGTCCCCGATGGATGAGTGGGCTCTGGCTGGGGAAGGAGCCCAGGAGAAGAGGGGCTGCCGTGTGCCCTTCCCCACGCTCTCCCTCCACATCCCCCTCAGCGGGACGCGCTCCGAGCCCAGGGCACTGTGGCGGGCAGCGG